AATATTCCATTGTCTGGATATACCACAGTTTATCCATCATTCATTGAAAGACGTCTGGGTTGCTTCCGAGTTTTGGCAGTGAATAAAGCTGCTGTAAACATCTGTGTGCAGGTTTTGGTGTGGACATACATTTTCAAATCAGTTAGATAAATACCAAGGAGCATGATTGCTGGATCATATGATTGTTTAGCTTCGTAAGAAACTGCCAGACTGTCTTCCAAAGTGGCTGTACCATTTTGCATTCCCGCCAGCAATGAATGAGAGTTCCTGTTGTTCCATATCCTCTCTAGCATTTAGTGTTGTCAGTACTTTGGATTTTGGCCATTCTAATAGGTGTGTAGTGGTGTCTCGTTGTTTTGAGATTCTCTAATGTCATATGATGTTGAGCATCTTTTCATATCCTTATTTGCCATTTGTACATCATCTGTGGTGAGGTATCTGGTTAGATCTTTTGCCCATTTTTCAGCTGGGTTGTTTGTTTTCTTATTGTTGAGTGTTAAGAGTTCTTTGTATATTTTGGATACTGGTCCTTTATTAGATATGTGTTTTGCAAATACTTTCTCCCAGTCTATGGCTTGTTATTTCATTCTCTTAACAGTATCTTGTAGAGCAGAAGTTTTTAATTTTAATAAAGTCCAACTTATCAATTTTTCCTTTCATGGATTGCGCTTTTGGTGTTTTAGCTAAAAACGTTACCATGAAACCCAAGATCACTTCGATTTTCTCCTAGTAGATTGTCTACTATCAGTTTCATAGTTTCGAGTTTTACATTTAGGTCTTTGATCCAGTTTGAGCTAAGTTTTATGAAAGATGTAAGGTCAGTGTCTAGATTTATTTTTTTGCATATGGATGTCCACTTGTTCCAATACAATTTGTTAAAAAGACTATCCTTTCCCCATCAGATTGCCTTTGCTCCTTTGTCAAAGGTCACTTGACTGTATTTGTGTGGTTCTGTTTCCAGGCTCTCTATTCTGCCCCATTGATCTATTTTCTATTCTTTCACTAATGCCACACTGTCTTGGTTATTGCAGCTTTATAGTAAGTCAGTCTTGAAGTCTGGTAGTATCACCACTCTGACTTTGTTCTCCTATAATATTGTGTTGGTTTAGTTCATATTTTTTGATCAATAAGTTTTTCTACTAAGATGAGTTATTTTGTTGGATAAATAATGTTAACAGTGATAAAAATAGTAATATTTAATATTTATTAAACACACACTATGTGTCAGGCTCTGTGCTAAATTCTTATCATGGTTTATCTCATTTAACTCTAACAACTCTAAATTATACGCAACGTTATTTTATATATCTGTTGATCTATCTATGTGTCTATCTCTCTCTTCTCTTATTGACCTTCAAGCCCTATATCGTGCCCAAGGGCGTGTAAATACTAAGTGAGAGTGCTTGGACTGGGATCCTGGCTCTGTAACCTTAGCCAGCACTATACTGTCTCCTATGTTTGCAGATATACATGTGGCTATACATGTATATACGTATAAATGTGTGTGTGTTTGTGTGTGTATTTATATCAGACTCCAGATGGACAGAGAACGAAATAGATATTATCTAGATCTGAGCCAAGATTTTGGTTTCAAACTACTTTAAGGCTGGAGGAAAAACAGACAAACTAAGCTTAATTCCTCCCACATTGGCTGCCAGGTGTTAATCCGCCTGCAAGAGCCTTTGCAGTCAGTGTTGCTTTTCTATGTCTTTTCTAGTTACCTCTTATATATGACATTTCCTAAATAGTGTTTAAATTAATGTAATAATGCTTTATAATCTTATATGGTATTCCTCTCTTCTTGTTAAATGCCGCTGCTCGTTCTATTCCTCTCTCCTGTCCCTGGCTGCAGTTGAACTATGTTTTTTTATTGTCTTCAAAGACTATTAGCTGGGCCTTTTCGGTTTAAGGATTACTCTACAATATATGAAAATAGACTGGGGCTACATGAGGGAATTACAGAGTTTGGGGAGTCCTTGCAGTCCCGGAACCTGGGCTGAGTCATTCACAAGGCTAGTCTCCATCTTTTGATGAGGCTTCTCTTATAGGGAAGGTTTCCCAGGCTGTTTGTTCCAGAATGACTTCTCTTCTTAATAGAACATATAATCCAGACAGAGTACGATTCCCGCCCTTCCCACCCCCAACCCCGCCCCAAGGGAATAATTTACATCTTTAAAGACCTGCTGTCTGGAAGATATCCAGTTTACTAGACTTCTGTCCCACCTAGCAATGGTCCCCTATGGGCATTTCCTCACACCAAGACACTAAGCGCCCTGTCTCTAGTCACGTACTAGAGGATTCTAAGTAATTTATAGAAAGTTACACAGCTGGGAAAGGGCAGATTGTTTTCCTACTCTGGCTGGCCTGACTCCATTGCTCATGTTAAATCCTGATCTTCATCTGCGAGCTCACTTCTTATTAGTGCGGTCCTCTGATTATAAGAATGATTCTAGTAACCTATAGTTGCTAGATTGATGGAGCAACATCCTGTTGTTCAATTCTCCTTGTGGCTAGTAATACATATTTGAGAAGTAGCTTATCTAAGTGACTGATACAGGAAACAGAATGAATCTAATTAGTTTTTATGAAGCCAGAAACTTGAGGCCTTGGTTTGAGGTACAACAACATTTAAATGGGTGAACTAACTGGGAAATTGGACTTAGTATTGAGCCATTTAGTAACCTACTTACTACATATCTTAAATTAGTGACTTCAAAGATGAGTTAGTTACTCTCATTTCACCTCTTTTTGAAATTCTAAATAGCTCGAAAGATTTATACAGCTTCCAAACTGACTTCATTAAAATCAGAGAATTCGTTGTGTTTTGGGAGAATTTAATATCTTCTACCCAATTGTGCTTCAAGTTTGTAAAATTATTGGATTGGTACAGAATGTTTTGAATACCATACATAGAGCAAAAATAATGCTAAGCCTTTTCACATTTAGAATGCTAGAACTGTTTTCTCTGTGAAATTTGACTGCAAATTCATGAACTATGCACCTGATATAGTACATGATACTAAGTTAGGTCTTAGTAAACAATTGTTCTATGACTAAAGAATGAGCTGTTAGTTTAATATTAGATTTAAAGGTTTTTGTGCGTACTTTTGTTCCTTATAAGGCAATGCCTTTTCCTCTGACCACTCCCTCCCTCTACCCTGCCTTAGCTTAGGAATGCTTGTCCATGAACCAAAAAAGGATGTCTAGAAGATGGCTCACTGCTGTATGTTAAAAACTTGTGCACACATTAATTTAAGGTACATTTGGAAATACCTTTCTCGTGCCTGTCATTCTGAATCTCGTTCAAGTTTACTCTCAGGTCCTATTTGAACGTTTTCTGAACTGCTTATTTGGAATACAAGGGTGTCTAGGGTCACTTCTTTGAATTCTAATCTCCTCCTTTTTATAAATTCCTCATATGTAAGAATAGTAAATGCTGCCAAGTCAACAGAAACTTAAAGGTTAAATCTGCTTCATCTCTGTAACATATTAAGGCAGTTCTCTTGAGGCTAATGTTTATTAATGACTACTTTGAACCTGAATTCTATGAGGAATATCTGGGTGCTGCCAGATTACTTTTATAAGTACATTTATTTTCTGTTTGTACCATCCATCTTAGGTGACCTGCATTGGCTATTTGGTTGCATCTGTTTGAAACCAAATGAGGCTGTTTTACATCTATGCCTTTGTTGTCACAGGGGTCATGATTATTCCAGTAGAGCTAGTGAAATCAGTCTAAGCATTTCATTCTCTCTGAGTTTGAAATTTGGAGGGAGAGAAGCGTACGAATGTGTGGGATATATAACTTCAAAGTTGCATCTATCTCTTCAGACATTAGATAATGAGAGGTAATTCCAACTTAGTTTATAAGCACTATAATGCTTCTTGAGTTCTGGCTGTCAAAAACTGCACATGTAAAAGTACAAAATTTAAATAGGTAGTGTAAAAAGACTTAAACTTTATGATAATTAATCAAAGCAGTATTTTCCAAACTTCACCCTCCCGAGTTCTACTTTTTCATTTTGCTCATATGTCCATACTATCTGCAGATGATTTATTTTCTATTTTCATTGAACTGACTCAGTAAACCTAAATACCTAATTTAGCCTCACAACCTTGGGGTGCAAATTATTTATATTTCTAATGAATGTTAAAATAAATACATAACTAATGAACTAAAAAATATTTCTGAATGAACTAAAATCATGCCTCATAATCTCTGATCTGCATTTCACATCCCAAGACCCACTGGATTAGTGACCATTTTGTGGCCTATACTGAGGATATTCTTAATAGGAGAAGGAGAGAGCCTTGTATTATAGATAACCTTTCTTTTGACAACCTTGCTTTAGGATATAAAGTAAAGGAATCCCTATGCCTCTGTTTTACCTTGTAGTAACCACAATCCAGGTTTTTAACAGTGAGCATTATTAGAAATGCAAAACTTAATAGGTACGTAGGGCAGGAGGAAAGTGCGAATAAAGCAGCAGCAACTCTGGCTCCTCCTCCGAGGAATGCAGATGTGTGATTTTCTAAATCAGGGGAAGGTTTCTCAGTATAGCCGTACAAGGGGCTGTGAGAGTTGTGACATTTTCAAGTCTCTGCTGCTGGAGCTGTTCGTTTGTGTTTTATCTTGGCCATGCTGACATCCACATCACAGTTTTGTTGTGATGCTTTTGACAGCTGTCCGGAGAGAAGGACCAAAGAGAAAAGCGGGTAATGAGGGCCGTTTGTGCAAAATGCTTAGGTGTGAAACTTGTGCCAGCGAAGGGTCAGGGAAGAGTGGAACCAAGTGCCAACTCCTCATCATGGAGGGATAAAGGAAATCAATCGATAGCTTTACTTCTGGAAGCGTGGGGAATTTATTGCTTATCAAACAACAATGACTGCTATGTTTCTATTTATGCAACAGATCGGAATGAGAGGAGTGGTGGGGGCTGTTGGGAAGTGAAATTCCACTAGGTAGTTTCCAATTCTGTGCTCTCTCTCTCTCAGGTCTTTGAGCAAAATGGGAAATGGTTCAGTGAAACCCAAACATTCCAAGCATCCAGATGGCCGCTCTGGGAACCTCACCACCGATGCCCTGCGGAGCAAGGTGACAGAGCTGGAGCGAGAGCTGAGGAGGAAGGATGCTGAGATCCAGGAGCGGGAGTACCATTTGAAGGAGCTGCGGGAGCAGCTGTCGAAGCAGACTGTAACCATTGCAGAGCTCACAGAGGAGCTCCAGAACAAGTGCATCCAGCTGAACAAGCTTCAGGATGTGGTGCATATGCAGGGAGGAAGCCCGCTGCAGGCATCTCCAGATAAAGTGCCTCTTGAGGTCCACCGGAAGACCTCAGGATTGGTCTCTCTCCATAGCAGGAGGGGAGCAAAGGCTGGGGTGTCTGCTGAGCCAACAACCAGAACCTATGACCTCAACAAACCCCCTGAATTTTCCTTTGAGAAAGCAAGAGTCAGAAAGGATTCCAGGTAAAAAGTTTCCACACCCTTTTGACTCAGATGGCCTTGATATTACGAAACACTAGAGTGATATTTATTAATCCTCCTCAGTGGTAAAAAGCACATTAATCCTTTCAGATTTTGGGATAGAGGGACTTCTAAAATGGTTTTGTTTTGCAAAAGGGTGTCCCTTTAATCAGAACTTCTCTTTAAAGCAGGAATTGTGCTTAACCTAGATTTTGATTTGTGATATGTATAACTGAGAAGCTGAGTTTACAAAAGTCATTTCCATTGTCTCGAAAACCCTAGGGGAGTGAAGAGGTAGCTTTAGGAAGTCTATGGTTCTCTCTTTCTATAGGAGTGGACTTAAAAGTATACACAAATCATAATGAATTATGAATCTGTATAGTAAAAAACACTTATTAGCACTTAGTCTGCAGGTGTCATGAAAGAGGAATAAGCTGGAAACTCAAAGGGATGAGTTCATTCATTCATTCCACAATGTAAGTTGAGCACTACCTCTGCCAGCTGCTCTGTTAGATGCTAAGTATATATCAGTGAATAAATAGACACAGAGCCTTTCTCGTGGGGAGGTAGACAGTATGCATGGACACAAATAAGCATTGTGTAGTTATTAATTGGGATAAATGATATGATGGAAACCAATAGTATAGTGGGTGGTATCTGGGATTAGGGAGAGAGAAGGCAAAGGAGGCAACAGGATTGGGATTATCATGGAGGCTTGGCTAATGAGGTAACCTTTAACTGAGATCCAGAGGAGGAAAAGGAGCATAGACTAGGTAGAAAGGTCATTTCAGACAGAGGGAACAATTAAAAGCTAGAATGAATTTTAAGAATAAGGATTTTTAAAAGAATATATAAATATTTACCACAGCATTCTTGTGTGTGTGTGTATGTGTGTGTGTGTACATTTCTTTTCTGGCTAAAGTCTGAATTTTCTAACTAGGAAAGATTGACTAGAAACATTACAAGTTACAGTCTCCTTTCTACATTACTTTTAAATGAGTAAATATTTATTAGTTGAAATTAGATCTTTTGGCTTGATAATGTCTTGGCAAAGACATTATCTCTGGATGTCTCTTGTAAAATGCAAGATTTGTGAAATTAAAACAAATTTTAATTTATTCACAGACCCAAGTATATAAATCAAGATTAAAACATCTGACTTAAAGAAATAAATGATTAATTTTGACAACAGAATTATAAAGGGAGGTTTAATTCATCAATTTGTTGACAATACTTGGCACATAGTGAATGATCAATAAATATTTGTTAAGGAAATAAGTCATGCTAGATTATTAATCATAATACTCTGTGACTGAAAGAAATCTCATTAATATTAGAGTTCAGAAGAATTTTTTTAAACTAAGAGTTTTTTATTAGTTGGTTTAGAAAGGTCTTATCTATTCCTTTTGCAGAAGTAAATTATTTACTTTTAATGGTGTGAATTCAGAAATTATAAATGTTACAAACTTATGCTTGTTTTTCAAAAATTGAACATCATCCAGTGTTCTTTTTCGATATATCAGAGATATATGCATTTATGGTAATATTATATATTATGCATTATATTACTATATATATATAAGCATAATATATTATTTACCCACAAAAAGTCTTCCAAATAGCAATGTGCTAGATGTGTAAGAGAATTTTATAGCAGTTCATCTTCTTTGACCCTCTCCTTACATATTCCACCAGATTTCTCCTCTTGAACCAAGGTTATGTTCAGTTATTTTGTTCCAAAGACTTGAGGCATCTTGAGGCAATACACCAGTCTCCCAGTGTTAGGTAACTGAACAATCCAATATAAGCATATTCCTTTGTATTTCTTTATTAGCTCTATTATAACCAGGCAAAGAAAATCAGTAGTTCTGCACAGTCAATTGCTGGGCCAAATCATACTCCTTTTCGTCTGTCTATTGTGAGTGGGACACGGGAGGAAAGACATTATAGCTCTTGAATAAGGACTAACAATGCTTCCCCTCATCATAAAGGCAAGCCAGATGGGTTCAAGTCTGTGTTGCGGTCATGATGAAGAAGTGGGCTAATTGATTCCTAATGATTAAATCCTAAAGAGACCAAACTAGAACATTCGTGCCCTAATATTCCCCATATGCTTTCATAGAGCCTTGTGGTTCTAAATTGAAAAATGAAATAGAATGTGGGGACCACTCTTTTTTCCTTGACTGGTTTGTGCTTCAATTTCCCTCGCAAAATATATCTTTCGTTAAGTCTGGAATAACTGGCTGAACACAGATAGCTAACATCATCCATTCATAGATTTTTAATTTTCCAGTTTTTCAAAAGTGCTCAATATTACAGTTCATTTTCTATTTTCAAATAGTTCCAGTTTTAGAGAAAAGCCATAAGTAAACTTTGGATATTTTTATATATCTTTTACACAGTCTATCAAAAGTTTTATAAGAAACAATTTGCTAGAAATTAGAGCATTAAAAAAGATGGGAGCATCATTCACTGATAAAAGGATGACATATGGTAGCCTGGTTTGGCTACTTTTCCAAGCAGTTCCTGCTGGATATGAGAGAATTTAAGATATCAGTCAAAATGGCTCCTCTCTATATTCTTAGGTTGTCATGATTTTTTTGTTGAACTTTTATAAAGTTTCTTGATTGAATTATGACTAAATTTGTTCCTAATAATACATGCCAACTACATTTTGAATGAAGTCCCCCCTCCACACTGGATCAGAAAGCCACTGAATGGCTTCTCAGTCTGTTTGTCAGAAAGGATGTCTCTGCTGAGTGCTTAACAGTGAACAGGAAACTGAGGGGAGACTCCTAGCCCTCCTGCCATCAGCAGCATCAGGGAGGTGTGAAGTACTGACAGAAACCAGAGAATAACATTTGGGCAAAGGATAGATTTGGAATTTGGGGATTCGTTTTCAGTAATTCATGAGAAACTCTAAAACCCATGCCACAGCAATCTGTGAGTTTGCTGAGGCCCCTGGGCTCAAGTGTATTGTAAATGGCAAGTGAATTTCATCAACCGCCAGGCAGCCCGCCCATGCCAGCTTCGTTGTCCTGTACCCATCAAGTGTACTTGTAGAGTCTGAAGGGATAACTTAAACTATATAATTGCACCTCCCTACTTTATATGGAGAACTTATATGCTCTAATGGCATTGGAGAACTCTTGAAATTTGTCTCTTGCAAAATTCAAGGGTCTGCTTTTTAAGATCAGGTTCTAGAATAATTCAGTGTTGTCCAATAGAACTTTCTGCAATGATGGAAATGTTCTGTAATCTGTATTGTCCAATATGGTAGCCAGTAGCAAAATGTGCCTCTTGAGCGCTTGAAATGTGGCCAGTGCAACTGAGGAACTGAATTTTTAATTCTAATTAATTTTAAAATTAAATAGCCTCATGTGTCTAATGGCTATTGTATTGGATATTGCAGTTGTAGATTATGTGTTTTGGCTCTGATCGCTATGTCATGAGATGGGAATTATGATCTAGTGAAGTTTGGGAAAAATAAAACAGAATAAGGCCTGTGTTTGGTTTTAGGACAAAGCCACAGAAAATGAGAATGTCCCTGTCAGATTGAGGTGGCCACAATGTAGAATTGCTCTTAAATTGCATGGAACCTGTGGTATATTTTAGGCTTTTATAGTGACTTGGCTTTGTGCCCACTGACCATTTTAGATCTTCAGGAGCATATGACTATGTGGGCACATAGCCCATTCCTCTTACAGGTACTCAGCCTTACTAAGGTATGGTAAATTATGATGACTCAGAGTACTACAGTATATCAAATACTCTGCTCTTTGAGTTAAATTTAATATAGTGAGCATCAGAAGACTTTAGAGCTAGAAGAACCTTAGAGATTGTTTCACACTACCCCTGTTACTGGAGAAGCGAGGAAACAGGTGCAGGGGAATTGCAGAGTATGCAATGGCAAGTGACAGAGCTAAGATTAGAATCCAAGACTCTTGACTTTGAAACCAGTTCTTTCCCTCTACAATCCTAGTGTTCTTAGAACTCCTCACAAAGATGAACGGCCTCAAGTCAGACCAGTTTGGGCACCCGTCTGATTTATTATGACATGCCCTATTGATTGGTAGGAAGAATTATGGTGCTTCCTGGCTTCTTCCAAGCAGAGCTGAGCAGAGCCTACCCATTGCATCAGTGTTCACCAGGTGCTGGATTCTCAGAGCTCAGGCCTATGAGAAAAGGACACTGAGAATGGGTTTGATCCATCTGATGGCATAGACTGTGATATATATGGAGGGGCACGAATGAGATCCCAAATGAGTACAGTGCTTCTCAAGGCTGGGAACTGAGTATCAGTGGCAAAGGAGGGTGAGAAAGAGCTCGGATAGCATTTCTGTCCATGTCTGACCTGCCTTGAGCACCAAGACATCTATGCATCCAGAGGTCAGACCTTTTACTGAAATTAAATTTTCTGTTTATGTAGACGTTGTTTAGCAAACTTCAGCACTAGCAGAGCAAAATTACGAGCTCATGCTGAATGTCTGGTGGAACACAGGCAAATTAATCAGAGACATCTGGCAAGTTGCTGGTATGACTGCCTTTTGCTAAGAACGCTTAAACTATCATTTGAAACTATTGTTCTTCTGTGAAAAGGAAAGGTAAAACAAAGACTTGCCATCTGACTTCAGATGTTGACTCTAGTTTTAGGAAGGACAATTAGTTTCATTTGTCACTCCCACCCCAGGAGCAGAATAGGTAAAAGTGGAAAATGCTAGTGAGTCATTCATTTTAATAAGAGGTGGAAAAGGAGAGAGGAAGAGTATATTTGTGATTATTTGTGCTGCCTTTCTGAAGCAGTGCTGAGCATTTGAATGTGCGTTATAGAAATGTAGCTCCTTTATACAGGAGCTAAACAGGAGTATTTCTATGGAATAATAATAGTAATGGTAATAATAATAACATGTACGTATCACTAATTATGTGCCGGTCACCACTCTGAATGCTTCACAAATACTGGATTATTTAATTCTCACAAAAAACCTGTAAGATAGATGTTA